AAATCCACGTGGATTTAACTTCCTGAAAAATATTAGCTTGATATAAAAGTTGCGTTTCTTTTTTCCTTTTTGCTGTAATATAAATTAGTGTAACTCACCTTTCTCTGACGTGATCCCATGTACAAGAAGAACATCATCGACACGAAAATGGTTGGGCATACGTAAAGGAAAAACAACCACGCTGGTCTTGCGTACCAACTCATAACTTTTCCAAGTTTGGTAAGAACAAGTGCAACCAGAGTGCACGAAATTATGCACACCAGCCACGAAACGGTTATTGCTCCGGTACACAGTAATAAATGCTTTAAGTATACCGATCTCTTTACATCTAAATTAAGATTTAGCAAATTTAATTTTGATGATACCCTTTAAACATGAGAATATGTATATGAATATACGCACCTTTCCGTGCACTTTGTGCATTTAGATATATAGAATATACGCCAGCGATTATGCTAACGACATTAATTGTACTCGACATATACTGTGGCCAGCTAACAACAAATAAGCCTAGGAAATCGAAGAACACGAGATTCCCTGCGTTCTCTTGAACTGCAGCTTCGGATAAATAATTATCCAATATTATTCCTTGCAATAGAGCAAGAATATTGTCCCCAGTCCTCTGCAAAGATCCTAACGGTATTTGATCGATATTATCGAATTTCGTGTGATAGACGTAACCATTGGTTGCCCAAGCAAAATCGAGACCTGTAATTTTTTGGGAAATTATAATTACAGATGAATTTTTGTACTGGATAGTAAATTAGATTAATATACGGATAGAGTACCAGAAACATTTCCAAAATCTCTAAATATTCGAAAATCGGTGTCACCAGGTACGATACCACTTTCAAATATTTCTTGAGCTAAGGACGACGCGTAGGGATAGGGAACATACTTAGAGTATACCTATCAAGAAAATAAGATAGCATAAAGTGGCACGTATTATAAAACTGCTTAACAGATAGAACCGCGTGATTCCATAATACCTGAAGCATCCAAGAACTATCAGGTCCAGCCTGAAATAATAATTCGCGCCCACCTGCGCCACAGGCTTCTAAATTTATAAAAGCACGCACTTCCTTTGCCCAAGGATGTTGCGTTATAAAGCCATGGGAAGCCTGTGAAATTAATTAATTTGTGCGTTAAAGTAAATCATTATTTCTTATTATTTTTTAACATAATCGTACCTGTAATAAATTTTCTTCTGCACCATTAAATAAAAATATAATACTATGCTTCAATAATTTTGAACTATGAGCAATCACACGTACAATTTCTAACATCACAGCACAACCTGCTCCATCGTCTGATCCACCTGTAACAAAACATTGAACGATAAATTAGTCTATCCAAAGAATATTAAATATATACTGCTTTAATCCTTACCAGGACTATCAGGAAAAGTATCAAAGTGACAATTTAATAGCAAACTGCTCTGGGTAGGCCTGTGTGGACCAATTTTAACAATGACGTTTTGCACATTTTTATAAACGTTTGTCATTCCATCCAGAAATTTTAATGGAAAAGCTCCGCTATGTTTGGTTACATTGACTAGAATCTTATGATTCTCGTTAGCATCCTTAACTATATTATCAATAATGTTTGTTAAATATTTAACAGCCAACACTTCGTTTTCGTAACTTCCAACAATTCGTGGCCCAATGGACGTAAGGTTCACAAGATGATTGTGAGCTCTCTCTGCTATAAACCTTCCCGGATATAGTCTCTCTTTATTTATCGTTAGTGGTTCGGGTAACTTCTTCTCGAACACTATCATTACAATGGACACGAAAAGGAAAAATGTAAATAGGAAAAGTAAATGTTGCGTTTCATTCGGCAGTGTATCTTTCTTTTTTGTAGAAGTTTTTTCCTCATATGATACATCGCCGGAGGCTCTTTTTGTGATGTGCTGACGTAATCTGATTCCATCTCTCTGAAATGAAGTTGATATCAATAAATAAAGATAATCAGAACTATGTATAACAGAACTGAAATAATCAGACAGAATCTTACCATTGTCTGAGTTAGAAGGTAAAAGGCACTTTAATAAATAATGAAACGTTTATATTAGAATTGAACAAATGGTCAAGAACAGATTGGTTTTCTTGGCACACATAGACTCATAGAGCAAAGTACACCTCGTGGGAATGGAATTTCCGATGTTTTTTGAAAATAAGTGTTACTTATGAATCGTTATCAGGTATTTTTGGTCAAAGATAATATCGAGCAATAATTTCATACATGAAACGTATGAATGTGGTATGGGTGATATCCACCTATCGTTATTTCTATTTCTTATTTAATAGTTACGAATATTCATAAATGATGCCACGTTTCTCTTTATATAATTCCAAGCTATGTTGGCGTGTCACTACCATTAGATCCGTGTATCACACCTTCTGAATAAAGATTCATGTACATTATCATTTACCCGATACCAGATAACACGAACTTCAAGTCTCTGCATTTATATCTGGACTATCAAGGTACGTTGGTAAAAACGGGATGTTTATTACGATAGAGATCGTGAAATAGAGGATCATTCAAAGGAGCTTGCCTTCGACGAAATGCTCCGTTCATATATTCACATATATTCTTAGGTAACATGTATATTGGAATTGATTGGAATCATGTGTGTATTCTCGCTATTACCGACATATCCTAGAGAAATCTCGCAGAAAGGGTCGTAGGCAGCGTTCGGCATAATCGTAATCATAATTACGATTACGATTGTAATCAAATGTTTCCGATATGTGATCACGATTACGATTGTAATCAAATGTTTCGGAGTTGTGATTACGATTACAATCGGAACAATTTTAAAAAATTACCCTATCTAGGTTCTACTCTATTGGCACGAAAATTTGTAATTGTTTGATTTTGACGAAAGCATGGTTTTTTAAGTTTTTTGGGGCGAGGAACACGAATCCGAAGTCGATTTTAGGGGTAAAAAAATGTCTATGACTGAAAACTTTTAAAAATACGATCGTAATCACAGACAAAATTTGCGATTACGATCGCAATATCGCAGACAATTTGTGATTATGATCATAATCGTAATCACAACCTTGAAGCATTCGATTACAATCGTAGGCGTAATCACAACTCGGAAACATTTGATTACGATCGTAATCGTAATTATGATTACGATTATGCCCGATATTGGTCGTAGATGCATTCAGAAAGGTCACCGCTCACTGAACAGCTCAATGAGCGGGTTTTAGTAGTAGTGGCGCCATCGGTGGCGAAACGTCCAAGTTTGTAGTGGAAATAGTTCTCACTGTTTTCGCTAGATGGCGCAACTAAAGCGTCGATAATTACCATTGAATTAAATGAAATATTGTTACAATAATACAGGGTGAATAACTATAGTTTCGATGTTATTTCAGGAGCTAATAATTATTGGCCCACCCTGGATTATTTTAACAATATTTTATTTAATTCAATAATAACACTGTCCAACACGATTTTTTTTCCGCGATATCCACTAGGTGATTCGTATAGGGTTCCTCGTCCTAAATACGAATCTGAAAGTGAAACTGCTCCATCACCTTTAGTTTTCGAGAAATACAAAATTTTGTAAAAACGATCGATTTTTAGAGAAAACGTAGTGCTACTTGAAAACTACGAACGCTAGAAAGTTCTATTTAGTCTGAAAAGATAGAGGAGTGTTTTCTGAATATGAAGACATTCCTTTAGAATTATCTGCTCCTTTGAATGCCTGTAAATGAACACCGAAGTTCAAAAAGTTGGCGACGCGAGTACTTTTCACGAAATACTTTTGTATTTTTATGAAAAGTTATTCGTCTAGGTCGAATTTACTATGCATCATAGGATTCTGCAAACATTTCTGAAGAGAAAACCACCCGCGGCAAATGTTGGAACGGTTTCTAATCCATATGGTTTAACAAAATGTCAACTCGGAACGCATGAACGGTGTTTTGCCGCTGCACAGCCATTACTCGCTATGTTTCGGTCAGTCAGGGCCGTCACTACGGGATTCGCCTAATCGGTGCCACGCGCTATCGGTTTTTGTATTATATTTACATGTTCCAGATAAGTAATTCTTCATTTTTAATATTTCCACTGTTTAAATTTTAATCATTAATTTCCCGTTTTTGTATCTTCAATTATTCGACTTTTCCTAATTTGGTATTGAGCAAACTTTACTTAAATCTAAATTGAATTATTTAACAATTAATTCAATCTATAATTGTATATTTAAAATTTGTTGGACAGTGTAATTATCGACTTTTTAATGAGTGGCGCAATCTAGCGGCAATAGTGAGAACTATTTCCACTACAAACTTGGGCGTTTCGCCACAGATGACGCCACAGGTACTAAAATCCGCTCACTGAGCGGCTTAGTGAGCTGTGGTCCTTTTTAATCCTTCCAGTCACTATAGCATCTCCTTTAAATTCATTACAAATGATCTAAATGAGGTACATAAACGTTAATTTCTCTCTATCTTCCTTTCCATAAAGGAAGTCATACTTTTGAAGTCATACAGTTTGAAACCGAGATTTCCATGTCAAATGCATTGCAGGGCCTTAGATTAAACATGGTCCTGAGTCGTATCATTCATTCATTTAAAGTGTGTAACTTATACAAAGTTATGGCACTACCGCTTACTTATTACTAGCTTATTCCCATTCTTCTTATCATCGTCTTACATGACTCCTGCATTGTTTTAATACTGTTTGCAGTATCTCTTGCTTATCATCTATTCTCATCTATTGGGGCCCGTTGCCCCCCCCCCCCCCGCTGCCTCGGGGTTGCTAAGCCCGTACTGTAGCTACAAATACGCTACAGCCCCTGAGGGCATGAGTCAAGTATCAAGTTATGCTCGGTGTTTGTAAAACCCGCAACCCGAATAATTTTTGTACGCAATAGTTGCTCAAAGATTTCGAAAAACAAAACGCTGCGGATACGATCGTTTACCGCCATCTGTGGGAGAGGTTCTCAAAGAGATCGCGAGATTTTGCTTGTTCGACGATAAGGTTTTCCTTTTTTTTTTCGTATCGCAATGGTAGGTGGCCGAGTTCCATGCCTAGCAGACGACCAAGTCTAGCAGACGGCGCATAGCTAGCGTCGTTCGCGGGCGCTCGAGTCTGCGTTTTAAATCGAACATCGTCGAACGCCGAAAGGCACGCGTTATCTCCCGAATAAAAGCTGTCGTGTCGCCGAGAAATTACGTGAGAAACCAGACGAAATGGATCCCGAAGCATTCCTGGACATGGCCAATCAGGTCATTAAATTGAAAATGTTCCCGTACTTCGACATCGCGCACAGTGTTCTCTGCGCGCTACACGTCAGAGAAGATTTAGGACCCGGTAAGCCCAAGCCCACCCGACCGATTCTAAATTTAATCCGCCCAGAGCTAGCTTATACCTTTTCTAAGATTATGTTTCGCCCCCCCCAAAAAAAACCTCTCCCCGTCCTCACAAACTGCCTGTTCGCTTCCTTTTCCTTATCGTTCTAGTCATTTCTCTATCCCTTCACTCGATACGCTATCGTTTTCTCTCGATTCGCTCGGGCTCGCGAAAATACTCCCTTATTTTTAACCATTTAAGTGGGAAATCGTGTTAAGTTCAAATTCTCGAACCTCGGTGATCGATCCGAGTCTCTTAACTAATTAAATTCCCATTTTTTTATCGCTTTCGAGAGCATCGAATTTTCAAAATTTCAGCTTCGAGCCATTTCTCCGCTAACCTGAGAATCAACCTAAACGTTTAAAAGTGTAATCGATAAAAAAAAACGAATAAAAGCACCGAAAAAATTTAAACCGATCGTATCTTTACATTTTTAACCATCGGATCTGGATGAAGTAGACGTTGAGCGATTAAGAAACGAGTGTTATTTAATTTTGTTGGATTATCGGTATATCGGTTATATTTTCGCACTCGCCAAGCTTCTAACTATTTTTATACCGCTCTTTGCAAATCGAAGATTCGTTTAATTTTAGGTCTCCTCGTGTATTTCTCTCCCGCAATATTTTCAATCGCGCAAACGAAATTGTTGTTAATAAAATTGCAGAATAACGACGAGCGTGAATTTTGTTTTGTTTTGTAATATCCGACACGCGTAAGAAACGCGAAAAATTGCCGTTAAAATCTTTGTTAAACAATTGTTCACGCATCGTTTTTGGCACAATTATAATAATCTTATTTTGTGGCATTCAGTGAAACAACCCAGCTGATCTATTTCAGTATACACCCTTGCAGAATGACCAGATTTATTTGAATTTTCGGTTTCTTTTTCTATCACTATTTTTTCTTTTTTTTTTTTCTCTCGTATTCAAGAACAATGTTTTTCGAAACAGCGTAAATATACAACAGTACCACTTTTATGTTCAGTTATGAAAGTCCTCTATCCGTGACTTCCTTATGCAATGAACCACGAAGGAGAAATCTTTTGATAATTCGCATTATTTTGCAGACCTTCTGTACCTTTTACCTTACAGAGATACTTATATTATTTTTAGTATTACATAAGGAAATGCTTTGTGATGTGAACTTTGTTCCTTGATAACTTTTGTACATTTTAACAATTATCAAGGAATTCGATACCTCGTGTCCATTAAATTTTAGAAATTCACCAGAGGAGTATTTGTATTTGCTCCATGTTTGCGGCAACCTGGCATCTGAACCTATCCACATAATGTATAGCGAACTTATAAGGATTCTCAGTGACCTACTTGAAATAGCATGACCCCTTGATATTTCATGGTGTATTCATACTCCTAAAACTTTACTAAACTATTTTCGTTATTCGAATATCACCTCTTAATTATAAATAATATTAGTATAATATAAAGAAGAAATAATTTAAGTTTGTCGATTTCAGTCAGCAATTTACTTTCTACAACCGACAAAGTCGTTTATACTTTCATTGAATAAAAAATATTTAAATCTAAAATGTCTTTACAATTTTATGAAATAGGTGCCCAAGCATTTTCTCGGAAACACCCCCTGTCATGTTGGCTTTCGACAATGTTGGTAGTATTCGCTGGCGGTATGCTATGCAATGGTCTTTTAGGAGAACCGATCCTTGCACCTTTGAAAAATACACCACAAGTGGTAGTTGCAACTGTTGTTTGGTCAGTACACGCTTACACAATGTGTTTGCGAGCTGCTTTAATTTAGATTCATCTAGCAACTTTGCTATAATACATTTTACATGTAAAATTAGTATATTCGTTACACAGGTACGTGATATTTTATACACCATTTGATATCGGATACAAAGTAGCCAAGTTTCTGCCTGTAAAACTTGTATGCGCTACTTTGAAGGAAATATATAGGTGTAAAAAGGTATACGATGGAGTAACTCATGCAGGGAAACTATATCCAAACGCATATCTTATCATGATTTTAATTGGGACACTTAAGGGTAAGTTTTACCGTTAAGAAATCAGAAAAAGAATACAGGATTCGTGAAATCAACGTACTTGTGTTTACAGGAAATGGCGCAGGTTTTACAAAATTATTCGAGCGTCTTGTACGAGGAGTATGGACCCCAACTGCTATGGAACTTATGCAACCCAGTTTGTGAGTTCATTTTCTTTTTATCCATTACGAAAATAAAAACGTTTTGCATAACAATTTGTTTCTGTAGCCCTACAAAAGCATCGATGGTCGCGTCTATCATCTTTGTCTTGGATAAAAAGACTGATCTCATTTCGGCACCTCACGCATTGGTTTACTTTGGTATCGTTATCTTCTTCGTGTACTTTAAGGTACAACAATTACTATTATTTTTTTAATTGTGTTCGAGTCTAATTTTTCATAATTTTGTATATCGAAGAAGATGAACCAAAACTTATTATTTACGTAACTAATAATGTTTCGTTTCTGTTTCAGCTGTCGTCCATTTTGCTGGGTATTCACGACCCGTTCGTACCTTTTGAAAATCTCTGTTGCGCGTTATTCCTCGGAGGAATTTGGGATTCGTTAGCCAAATTGCTGGGCAGAGGCCAAGCCAAAGACGAGAAAGCGGATGCCAAAAAGAAGGACTAAATGTTTGTAATTTTGTGCGTATACATCCTTCGATAACGTCTAAGCGCTTATTACGTAACTATCGCGGAACAAGGCACGATATCGGAAATATTTATTTCGTTTCTCTTGTTGTTCAACAGATATACGAAGTCTCCCAAGAAATTCATTTTAATATTATCAACGATTTGCTACGGATGAAATGCAATGAATGGATGCAATTTGAAGCTAGTCATACGATACGCGCGTGTTGAAGCGTGATCATCGACAAATCATTAAATATCAGAAGTACAATAATTTATTACTATACATATTTTAATAATGACGAGTGATATACGTATCGAAGAGTGTAACTTCAATCATTGGACAAGTCAACAGTATTATATCTGTTAACAGCAACGTACTCACGTAATAGTTGAGGGTATAAACACGCGCTCTTTGCGAATTATCCAACGATTTTTTTTTAAAAACAGGCGTCTTCATAATATCATTGTTAGCGATAACACTTGATATGTAAATTCGTTATCTTTCCTAAATATGATTGTTCTTTTAGAGTTGATTAGGATACTACGCAAGTGATTGCGGAAGCATTAGAGATATGTCCCGAATTGCCGATTTTTTAATAATATATGTTGAGGCAATTAAGATAAGGTTACGATAAGGTCCATTTAATGGACAAGAATGATTCGAATCGATATCAATTAAGATTCGCTTGAAGCATTTTTGTCTATCGTAAAGTAAACGAGTTATTGGAGTGGCCTGTCTTTACTGTCTCATCCTGTATATATCTCACACCGTGTTTTAGCAATCGAATTTAAAAGTTGTTGAGAAGACATTTTATAGAGGGAAACACAAGTTCTCTTACAATATAAGTGCATGTGAATATTTACTAAGGCCAGTTCAAGGTATTCTAATACTGGCATATCATAACGACAAATACTCGTCGATTTATCGTGTGGTACCTACTGCAATGATACGAATAAACGTACTCAGGTTGACGAAGTTAAATTTTACATAATTTTGATGCATATTTCAGCGATAAAGTTCCGATAATAAAATACGTAAATCAAAATTTTCCATGTACGAGTTGGTACCATTAGAAAATATATAAAAGTAAACAACGAGAGGGACGTAGACCTCTTTTATACTATTTTATTACAATTACATACCAACGATTGGTACTTACCCACACATATATGTATCAAGTGTTTGCCTTCGACTCAACGATGTGAACATAATTTACCGTGAAAATTAAATTCGCTTAATTTTCATATAATGTTCCATTTGTCAGAACGTTGTACATTTTCAGATAATAAAATGAAGTTTGTTCTTCCAAATTCGCGGCGTAATTTATTATCTCCTTAATTTATGCGACTGCAAACGAAAAGAGTCATTAAAATTGCACTTGATCGAAGCTTGCGAGAAATAGATTTACAATAAGCGATCAAGACAATTATTTGCACCTAGCGAAGGTACATTTACGCGGTCTCTCGGATAACGGGATTTTTGAATTTTCGAAATTGCGAAACGCGTCGATATTGCTAACATCCGTCCAATCTTGATCGCAATAAAGTTTGTTCTTGCAATTCTTATCGCAGATGTAATCCTTACACGAACGCTTGTAATAATCGCTGTCTAATTGGCGCTCGTATTTTTTCTGATGAGCTGCATAAGACAAGCAAGACGACCGATCACACGTTCCTACAGGCTCGTCGACATATTTCTTTGCAAGATCAACGTCGGTTAGAGTCTCTTTATCCGATTTCACGATTGTTTGGCTCTCGTTGCACTTTATCACTCGAACCAATATTGGATCTCGCTTCTGAGTACCGACACTTACCCTCCTCGGTTTATCTGTATCGTTCTTCAAACCATTTTGAACTCCTACGTTGCGAACAAGCAATCGCGACGACGACCCATCGGTTCCAATATCACGGCTCTCCGAGTAAACGGAAACTTCCTTGTCCACAGCTGGAAACTTGTACGCTTCTTTCAATAATACCGCGTCGTCCACGGAGATGCGTTGCGTTGCGTCCTCTACGGTCCCAGTAGATTCGAATATCGGATTAAAATCGCTTTCTTCGATCATTGTTGGCTTATCGAACCTAGCTTCAAGAGCAAACATCTGTGTGGACTCGTTTCGACTCGTGATTGCTGATCCCAACGTCTTCATCGCGAATTCCTTGATCCTATCCACCACTTCGGTCACATCAACCTTGCAGTTCCTTTTCGCGTTACAATTGGACCTATCTGATATTAACGCTTGTATTAGATAAGTCCTTGAGATTTCTGTGAGTACTGGGAATTAGTAACTGGTAACTTACAATCAGTCTGGGTGTTTGAATTTTTTAACGATTTTGTACTCTGGGTCCTGGATTCAATTCTGGATGATAACATCTTATAGAGGAGTTGCTGCAACGTGAAGGCCACTGTGGGATCTTTGATAATTTCGCTCATGTTGCGTGGGCAGGTATCTGGTGTGCATGGAGCCTTGAATTCTTGCGCTGTTGAAAAACATATTTCAGTTGTTGCTGTAGTATTGTATGCTCTATTGTGTAATACACAAAACCCTTACTTTTCCCTTCCACAGATTCCTTTGAATCCACACGTCGAATACAATGTATCACAGATCCATTTGACTTGGCTCTAGTCACACGTTGCGTATCGATACCAATGTGTCGAACAGAGTTTGAATCGTGCTCTTTAAGACAATCAGTAGTTATACAAATGCTGCTACGAATTTCACGTACAGACGGTGTAGTTGCAGCATCCTTTACCCTTTCCAGAGATAAAGAGCGAGCTAAATTTCCCCGCGATACGCAAATCGTGCTCTGAATCCCTTTCGATGCTGTGTCCACTACATTCACTGCAACTTTTTTCGATTTCATCGCAGGAATCGAATTTCTCACGCAATGTTCCCACTTCCTGTTCTCGTCGACCTGATTCAAGGTTTGAAGAGAGACGCAGCGTCTCGTTGTATTCGATGCACAGATCGCATATTGCGTTTCTTGTTGAACGTAATTTACGGTGTTAACGCTTGCTTCTTTCATCCTGCTCTTGAGAGGTGCAGTTTCAGGTGATAGGTCTTCTACGTTCTTCTCTGAATTTGATAGCAGGATTTCTAACCGAGCACAGGCCTCTATGACGACACCTTGAGATTTATTCGTCACCACGGGATCTAATTGTATGATTTGACCCTTCGTCGCTTTTATAACCTCCCCGTTACATTGTATTTCAACATCTACGTTTTTTCCTAACTTTTCCATAGATGTAACAGGCGAACGGCAAGATTTATTCGTCAGAGTAGAATACGGTGCCTGTTTGGTTGGGTCCCTCCGAATTTCAAAATCTCCAGAGTCATCTGTGTGCTTCTTGGGATGTACCATCGAATCTAATAAAAGAATTCAATTTACATTACACGCAATTGCGCTTGTGGCAATCTAGAATACCTCTATCGCATCCAGTGCACGGTGTATACATTCCACGAGAGAGATCACTGTAGTAATCGGAACAGGGAGTGAAGATTCTTTGCTCTTGCACAGGATTTGTTGCATCTCTTTGGGATTGTTTAGACCTTGCATCTTCCCAACCACACAAGGGACATTGTAGAAACGGTGGCTCGTAATTATTCTTATCCGCTCCAATTATATCGTTAGACGTTGGATCGATTGTCGTGTATGGAACAGTCATGGGATATCCTGAGAACAAATTAGTTAGATCCAGGCTTCGATTCGATTCTGTTTAACACGTTGACTGCCAGAGAAATATTCCCTGAAAATTTCTGCTAGAATTAAATATTACTTAAACTATTGGAGACTACATAATCAAACATCCGTCGTGGTATTTATTTGTATAACTTCATCAAAATACACGAATTTCATTTAAATTCATTCCCTTTGAATCTTAACTTTCAGAATTAATTTTTTTAGTTCTTCAGTGAAATGCACTGTCACTCACATATGGGTGACGTGGCGATCAACGTGTTAAGTAATTTGATTCATCTGTACCTGTTGTTCTCGACTCAGTGTCCCTTGTAGGCCTATAGCTAGAAAGAGTATCCTCTTCTCTATCTCTCGAGACGTTTGTCGAAGTTCTCGCTTGTGGGCAGGGCACGTATCTTATCCGTGTCGTCGACGGCGCTTTGCTGATTTTATCCGGTATCAAATTACTCTTCGCATTGGAACGAGCTGATTTACTTCTTCTAGCAGGCTCGTTGCATGTAGCAGTGGTACAAGGATTAATTCTTAAGACTTTCTTTTCTTTCTTTGGCGAGTCTCGTACGCTGTCGCTGCTCAAAGATTTCAGGACAGACGTGTCGGGACGGTTGACTTTTAAAATCGTCTCCGAATTGGCTTTCCTCTCGTCGTCGATTACTTTTGTCAGCATGTCGGAGACTATGCCGTACCAAGAGAACGGTGATTTATACTGCTTCTGCGATTGCAATCCTTTGATCGTTCTTGTTTGCTCTCTCTTGTACCTACGACGGTGGAAATGGTCGATTTACGTGACTCTTTCTCTTTTTTACAACGCATATCATTAAAATATCTCCAGTCGTACATTACTTTTCTCTTATTATCTTGATCTGCTGCAAATAGTCAGCCGCAGTGAACCCAGGTGTACCGAATTCATCTATAATTTTCTGCAAAGCTTCGTTCTTCTCTCTGCAATTGTGATAGTCCTTGTGGTAAGGATTCCACAAGCACGGATATTGTTTGTATACTTTCAAGAAACTGGTCACCAATCTCTCGTTCCACTTAGACATTTTCAAACGTTTCCAAACGTGTTCTCGTAGGAATAGCGGGCGCGATACTTTGCACGTTTAGAATTTTACGTGGTACCGACACGATAAATTTTTTATTGGTTAAAGAACACTACTGAATTTGGCCGACATATCGAACGAGAATGCTCGTCGAATCAGCCAGAGACGAGTAAAACTTTATTCGAATAGTAGACGAATTCGATCGAGCAGTTAAATTTTTATTTATTCTTTGTAGAATATTTAATTCCATAACTCTAATAGTATACTGTATATTTGTTGCGCTACAATAAAATTAATTTCTTCTACATGGGAGATACATCGACGGGGATTGTACAAAATATTTGTTATTTGCAACCGAATTCGCAAGAATGATCGGTTTTGATCATGATCACCGGTAACCCGCAGCTACAAATCATTTCCTTGCCCATGGCTTTACAATCGCTACAATTGGAACTGGAACAATCTAAAGGAACACTGTGGGACGCGTGTTTCAATTTAATGTTATCGAGACGCTCCTGCGTGATCAGGTCCTGTATGCATTTCTCCAGCTTAACTGCAGTTTCTAAAAACAAACAACACTCCAGTTGTAATTTGAATTATTCGAGTAGTTAAATACTCACCGAAATTTATATTTCTTAACTGAAACGCGATGCTCTTTCCAAACATGTCGAATTCGTCATGAGCTTTTCTTTTCCCTTTGTCCTCCACTGTCACGTAGACATCCTTCTGTAAAATGTACTAAGCATATTTTCTCACCTTTGAACATGATTTTATTAACCTTTTATTGCATCTGAATGACTAAATAACAACAATCTCCACGGAGATTCCTTATTATTTAGGTTGAGTATTTATGCAACAGAGGGTTAAGAATCTTATCGTTTACCAAATCTCTTTTAATGACCGTGCTATCTTGCACGCACGTTTGACACGCAGTGCATTTAGTTTTGAAAAACGAAACGTCGGTTTGGATTTCGTGTTCAACAGAAATCCATTCATCGGTCCCTGGTTGATCCCAATGTTTCCTAAACAAACAGGATGTTGATAATGAATTGGATATCGTATAACGAATAACAATCGAAATAGAAATTACAGTATTTACTTAGAATGTACGCGAAGCTTCTCCTTATATGGTTGAGCGCAGCAACAATTCGCGTAAGTGCAACTGCAACCTTTGCTCTGTGTTTTTCGCAATTTCACTATGTTTGGATACGCTGTCTGATCATTTAAGTTGCTGCTGTAATAATTTTTGTATACGTCTCTTTCGTTGTTGTTTATCTGTAATTGTAATACATCAATTAAATAAATATATATATATTATTTAGTAAATATATTACCTTTTTTCTAACGTACCTTCCAAGAATTGTCTGAACAACCGTACGCTTCGATAAATGGAAAAAGTATTTTGTGCATTACTGGAAACCAGCTTGCTTTAGGTTTATACATTTTTTCGCAAGATATCGCTGCACTGATTTTCGACAATTCGTAACAATATTGCGCCTTAACGTAGGTGATTCGTTTGATGCAATCGCAAACCGTTAAACCGCGGATGTTCATGCAATCTACAATCTGTTTGTATGCTTTGTAACGACATAGTTTGTTCTTGAAATCGCGGTGGAAAGGATTCGTCAGACTCTCGTGTCGACTATAAAGGATTACTAATTTCAAAGTTTGGTTTTCAGTCCATACAATTGGCATGGTAAACTGGTCCAATTATTTTTTTTTTATATTTAGGTTATTTAACCTTTCATTTGCATAGATGCCATTATTTACATATTATTAAAACATCATATTTACATTCCCTGAATTCGTGTTATTATAGAATCAAGAATTCTTTTTTTTGAAGGAATGCAACGAACAAACTATATTTGGATTACTCATTATACATATACAAGTTTACAAATGTTACTAGAATTTAGAAAAAAAATATATAAAAAAAAGTGAAAGAATACATGAAGTATACACAGAATTCTTTTAATTATTGAGATGATCTTAAATTATTTTTTATATGAAATAATAATAATCGAACAAGAGGATCGAGTTTTTCGATAAAAATATATTTTTTTATTCAACTATTACTTTTACTAAATGATTTAATTTTATGAAAAATGTTACTTTCGATTGCAAATGACATTTTAGTTATTCAATTGCACTTGTAATATATGCATTAAATACATTATAAATATTCTATAGTAGGATCATGACTTCAAAACATTTAAATAGATGGATACATAATAAAACATTCATGTATAACCATGAACACGAATAATTGATGCGCGTTGGTAAATTACATTTTAAAACAATCTATGCGTTAAGTGAAAAATATTAACCCTTCTTGCGTTGTACATCGTTAACAAAAATATACATTTTGCCTTTAGTATGCATAAGTTTTGAATGATTAACTTCGTTACTTATGTAACATTATATACAATGACATGTTTGTATATAACAATTATATATACTTTCGTTTAAAACTATTCCTTGTTAATATTATCTTACCGAGCTTACAACTATATTATTTGAGCTACCAACATAAAATTACGAAGCAGATTCAATTGTAGAAGATGATGAAGGTAACTGTTGAGGTACAAAGTTTATTACTTCGTGATAAACGAGTTCTGAAAACGTCAACATCTGTGTAAGTATTAGTCGCTTTAAACACACAATCAGAAGCCAATCAAACACTCGTACCTTTCCACTTGTCTACTGGTAAATCCATATCCTCAAAACTCTGATCATACGGTAGCGATACAGGTTCATCCGTTGGATCTGCATACTGTGCAAGGTATGGATGAGCTAAAGCTAGTTCTGCTGTAATTCGCTTTTCTGCATCTAACTCCAGCATTAACTCGAGTAAATCTATGGCTAAAAAGTAATACAGAGTCCGATAAGTTTATGACTTTTATATTCCATTTGGGCAAACGATATTGTGTAAAAATAATGTAAGAGTACCTAAGGGATTAGCTCCGCGAAAAACATCTTTGAAGTTCTTTTTTTTTAAAGGAGGTAAACTTTGTATGTAATTTCTTGCCTAAAACAATATCAAGTTTGTTATTTTTAACAATTTATAAACAACGTACATTACTTTATATTTACATAAATATTTATATATGTGTATACGTATATACGAATTATACAATATTTTCCCAGGACTATAGAAATTATAAATTATTAATTGCGCCACACTCTACATATTTTAATGTATTTTATTCGCAGCAAATATTCTTTATCACTTTGTTCATATAATGCAATACAAACTCAAAGCAAAATCATTATTTTATTTTTCTGTGTCGTTAAATTGGAGAACTAATTTATGTAAAAAATAAGACAAATATTCTAGCTTTTTCAAATTAGGTTTATAAGAAAAAAATATTTATCTTAAAAAAATTACCTCTTGGCTGGTAATTTTGCTTAAAGTTTCTTCTGTGGGCGTACCACAGAGTATTAAGACTCGTGTTAGATGATCAATGTCTGCTTAAAGTTAAGGTATGTTTAAAGCATAATTCATTGTATTATATCGATAGAGAAAGTTTTAATTAAAAAATGTATTAAGACTGCGTCTATTTAAAGCGTTTTATCGGCATTCCAAAAACAAATAAGAAACAAAACAATGAGAAATGAAACATAGAAAAAGGTAACGTGTACTCACCAAGTGAATTTGCAAATGTTAGTAACACGATTTATTTGTAAAATAATTCTTCGAATTCCAAAAAGGAAACGAGTAAATATTGTGCGCATTGTTGCCATAAAAAATGCAGCAAAAATGTGTAACATGCATGGCGTTTAAATTGTAACATATTACGGACAAACAACATGCACTATTATCGTCGTTTAACGATTCGAAAAATACTTACCGATTCTGATGATATTTTGTTCATAAATTCATCTCGCGGAGTACCCAGTATCTCCATTATTAAGTTCAGTTGATGTATATCTGCTCTTGCTAAGGTTCCACCACACCTTTCTCTACTTTTACTAAATACTTTTATTATTACGTAATGTAACTGTTAATGCGCTTTGTGCATTAAAGCATATTAAAATATATATGTTGCGCTTGTATATTTATTTAACAAGTCTCTTTCGCTATTAGACAAATAAAATAAAAATTATTAATGTATTAGCGCCAAAGAATATTAAAGCATAATAGAAGCCATATGTAGAGCCTTAGCAAAAAGCACATCTTTCGATTTTAAGATGGTTAAAGATTCGTGATAATTGATGTGCGGGTGAAAAGTGAAATTCGTATGCGTATTAGTACGATACGATTAAACAGAAAATACAAACAATGATTATAATTATTAGATGTCAGTATTCAAGTAGCTTGAGAAGCATAATTATAAAAAGGATACGATCTGTTCCAGGAAATAATGTTCGCCCTGTTAATAATTCAGCCATTATACATCCAACTGACCAAATATCGACTAAAAAGTACGAAAAGGGTGTTTTAATGTATTAGGGGTAAGATAGAAAGGATTTGCGAAGACGAAACAAAAACTAATAAACACCTGTTTGATTATAATGCATCCAATTGAGCATAATTTCTGGAGCTCTATACCACCTCGTGGCAACATACCCAGTCATCTCGTTCTCTGTGGGCCTGGCTAATCCGAAATCTAAAATCTTCAGCTCGCAATCTTCATTTACAGCTATGTTGGAAGGCTTCAAATCCTGTACATTACAAATAACATTTAATATTTCAAGTATTTTAGGTACATGATGATATTGCATAGTATGTAATACTTTACCCTGTGTATTATACCCGCAGAATGGATATACTTAAGACCACGAAGGATTTGATAGATAAGAAACTGTACATGATCATCCGAAAGCTTTTGAGTTCTTACAATATTATTGAGATCGGCACCCATCAGATGTGTAACTAAATATCTATTAAAAGTACAGAATATTACCGAACCATGACGACCAAAATTTTAAACTTTCACGATGGAGTCTATAAAAGTACATACACCTGTTGAAAGTCTTCCAAAGAGGAAGATGGATGAAATACATCTAGCAGACCAATTACCTGAAATAAATATCAATGTACAATCAATATATGTACAAACAATTCAACAATTATTTTCAAAAAGTTGGACTTTGTGGTATAAAAATAAAACAGTCCTTCTTAATTGTACGTGCCAAGACAAAGTTTCTAAATACTTCTAATGTCCACAGTGCCAACTTTAAGAATATATTACACAGATATATATGTTATCTACTTTTCCTCACTTACATTTTCATGATTCATGTGTTTCAACATACGAAGTTCCCTATATGTACGCTTTGCATGTACAGCTGACTGGAATGGTCTGGCTAACTTTTTTATCGCTACTTTCTGACCAGTAGTTGTGTCAACTGCTGAACTGAAACATAGTAAACATAATTAGAATAAAGAAAGTAATTAGAAAAATAGACGTGTAATAGAGAAATAATAGATTAATAATAGATAAGATATCAATAGGATTGTTTCAAGTATCACAGAACGAAACTTAAACAAAGAAGAAACGTTAGAAAACAGAAGAAATTGAATAGACGATCTCGAATCCCTGTTCTTGGAAAAGCATTGTCAAATGCTCTAATTTTAGAACAAATATGACACGGAACAAGACTACTCTGTTCCTACAAATTACCATGGTTATAAATGATAATTCGATAACGGAGCATATATTTAGATCCAAAGAAAACTTTGATGAAACTTTCAATAGGGAAAAAAAACAGTAAGCAATGCCAGAAATGTCAAGGTTATGATCAGTTCATGGCCGTAACAGAATACTAGGTTAACTGCAGAGCGGGATCGTTTAAACTTTCTTTAACAATTTGCGGAACTCGTATCTATTTCATTAACATGTACGATGTAACTTAATTAATATATATGATACAACTTAATCGCGATAAATATAACTATTGTTTTCATTTCTTACCATACTTGACCGTAAGCTCCTGATCCCACTGGAGTGAGCATTTGATATCGTTCCGGAACCTCCCATTCGGTCCTGTTTATTTCAATTTTATGGAACTGCGGCATAATATTCTTTTCACTCTGGCCGGTAGGCAGAATTCACGACAACGCGACGAAAACAATAAACAATTTCAACTAACGTTTAGGACCGCGATTTACAGACACTTCGAACATCTCCAAATTAGCCTACTATTAAAAACTACTACACTAATCGCGTGTAGGTCAGTGTAGGTATGGTCGATATCGAACAGATTTCTCGCCAGCGAGTAATCGATCTATTCTCATCGATTTAAACCACCGATATCCCCGAGTCGATCTGTATTTCCCACCACTGATATTCTATTTTCAAATCTAAACGTCTTACAAAAGATTCTCGGTTACTTTTTTTTGAACATTCTTGCCAATTACGATACTCTTACGTGTCACGGATGAATATTAATTCATTCGAGTAACCGAATACAAAATTTTGTTCGAAATTTCGCGTAGTCCCCTGTTTTCTGAAAGTATTATTTTTAACAAAAGCGATCACCGTATGATCACCAACGACCATGAAGACTGTATAAGGAGATTCAACTCCCTAAGAAAGTTACTAGAAAACTGTTATCAAAATCCCGAGCTTGAAGTTATGAATACAGGGTGTTCCAAAAATGTTGTAACACCTTGAAAGGGGTGGTTCGGGAGGTGATTTGAAACAACTTTTTCCTTAGCGAAAATGTTGTCCGAGGCTTCATTAAGAAGATATTAATCGAAAACCCTGACCAAGCAGAGCGTGAATATGCCGGTTGAGCGTGGCTACGCGATAGGCGGCTGCGCTCATACGCTACCGCGGGCGCTCCAACGGTATACGCGCGCTCTGATTGGTCGGGGTTTTCTCTTAATAGCTCCCCTTTCAAGGTGTTACAACATTTTTGGGACACCCTGTATTTATAACTTTAAGCTCGGGATTTTGATATCATTTTTACACTACACAGTTAGTACTCTTTATCCTTATACAGTCTTCATGCCAGCGACATATCGATAGCGTAACATCGATGGCTTTCGTCCGAACCCATGTAGTCGTGTAGTTGTAGTCTACATTTTCTACGTATTCCATTTTGCTTTTACGCATTCGATGGTTGACGTGGTGTGATTTCCACGTCTCTCCTGCTCTCTCCCTCGTAACAGCGACGAGTAGTGAATCGAGTTTCGGTGAATATGAGTATGAATGACAGCGAACCGATCGAGTACGAACCCTCCATTAGAAACGTGATCGAACAGCAGTCTTTGCGATGGATATTCGTCGGTGGCAAAGGTGGAGTCGGTAAAACGACCTGCAGGTAATTATAACCTGCGAGAGAATCATTTCTTTGTCGTAACAATTTGTACAAATCATCGCGATTAACAATTCGCTCTTTTTCGTAGTTGTTCGTTGGCTGTCCAATTGTCGAAAGTGAGGGAAAATGTACTCATCATCTCGACCGATCCCGCGCATAACATCTCCGATGCGTTCGATCAGAAATTCAGCAAAGTTCCGACGAAGGTGAAAGGATTCGATAATTTATTCGCCATGGAAATCGATCCTAATGTTGGCGTCACTGAGTTGCCTGAAGAATACTTTGAAAGCGAAGCAGGTAAGCTCCATTAATGCTGGCACTTCCCTCTTTGTTTGATAATGTATAAACATTCCCTCTTTGTACGTTAGTTTCAGGTGGAGTAGCGATGAAATTGAGTAGAAGCGTGATGCAAGAAATTGTTGGAGCCTTCCCTGGTATAGACGAGGCGATGAGTTACGTAGAAGTTATGAAGTTAGCGTCAAATTATTCTCCTTATTCTAATTAACATCTGTATATAATAAACTGTACGATGTTCATCTGTAATTTCAGGCTGGTCAAAGGAATGAATTTTTCTGTTGTTGTCTTCGACACTGCCCCTACCGGGCATACTTTAAGGCTACTCTCGTTCCCACAAATTTTGGAAAAAGGTCTCGGGAAACTAATGTTTTTGAAGATGAAGATGAATCCTTTCATTACGCAAGTACGAAACGATAGCGCTTACATTTGTATTCTTACTGTTAATAATAAAAATAATTCTAATTACAGATAAGCAACATGTTCGGTATAACGGATTTTAATGTAGATACATTCTCGAATAAAGTAGAGGAAATGTTCGCGGTTATTCGACAGGTCAATGAACAATTCAGAAACCCTGATCAGACGACATTTGTTTGCGTGTGCATAGCTGAATTTTTGTCGCTTTATGAAACTGAGAGGCTTGTACAGGAATTGACAAAATGCGGTATCGACACCCACAATATTATAGTGAACCAGCTGTTATTTTTGAAAGAAGGTGACGCACCTTGTAGACTGTGCCTTGCGAGGCATAAAATACAGAACAAATATTTAGAACAGGTAGATTAAAATATATCTTACTTATAATTAAATTTGTAACTACTGTAATATAATTACACGCTCGTTCTTTCAGATAATGGATTTGTACGAAGATTTTCATATAACACGACTTCCTTTATTAGATAGAGAAGTTCGTGGAGTCCAACAAGTCAAAGAGTTTTCTGAAAATCTTGTCAAGCCATACAAACCTTAATTACGATTAATGTTTAATAAGAATATATAACATTACGTATAATCAAAAGTTTTTGTAAACTAAAAAAGCCTTATACACTGTGAAATTTGTATGAAAGGTAATATTTAATACTTTTTTTCTGCATGTAAAAATTTCGCTTTGGTGTCCGTGTACGTCAAACATTATCGAAAATTAATTGACGCGCTGTATATTTTTTTTTATACAAATTCCATAAAGCAATAATTGTAAAAAACAATAACACTCCTTATTTTATCATCACGTTTTTGTCACGTTATTTTTACTTTTTATTTTTAAAAATGTGAATTAAAACGATATCAGGCAATGACTCCGAGTTCTTTTCCGGTTTGTACGAATGCATTTATAGCGTGTTGTATGTCGTTTTGTGTATGCGCAGCGCTGATTTGAACGCGTATCCTAGCTTTATCTTTCGGTACTACAGGATAACTGAAACCGATCACGTAAATTCCTTTTTCTGTAAAAAGACAGTTTTGTAGATTAGAATCTCTTTAATATTTATCGTAAAATACCTACCGATCATCTTATCAGCGAATTCAGTGGCTAGTCTCGCATCGCCTATCATTACAGGACAGATAGGATGGTCATCACCAGCGATCGTAAAGCCCGATGCTTTCATACTGTTTCGAAACAGATCAGTGTTGTTCCTCAGTTGATCCAGAAATTCTGTCGAATCTGTTATTAGATCCATCACCTACGTACCAAAATTGGGAAGTAATCGATTAATTCTTATAATTAATACAATTCAAGAATTCACTGTATTCGCTATATATACAGTGATTATGAATGGAAAAAATCGTTGATACGAATTAGAATTCTAGCATAACATAACATTACTCTATAAAAGACTTCTAATTTTCTTTATTCGCTCATTAGTTGTTATTGAAATATTCTTTTTAACATACCTTACTTGCCGATGCGACTACGGGAGGAGGTAACGAATTTGAAAATAAGTATGGCCTGCTGCGTTGTCTTAATAAATTAACCAGCTCTTTTTTACTGGTTGTGTAACCACCCGCTGCTCCGCCAAGAGCTTTGCCTAACGTAGAATTAATGATATCGATGCTGCCCAACATATTGAAATAATCTTCTATGCCTCTACAATTAAATAACTACAAACATTACTGTTCCTAAGAATTTTGGATTTTTACGAATTATACAGTAACATTATAATAACATGATCACCTTCCAGTTGATCCAAAAAAGCCAGTAGCATGACAGTCGTCGACAAAAGTAAGGGCGTTGTATTTTTGTGCAAGCTCCAGTATTTTTGGTAATGGTGCCACAGTTCCATCCATAGAAAAAACACCGTCGGTTGCAATCAGACGCAAGCGCGAAGACATACACTCTTGCAGCTTATTTTCTAAATCTGTCATGTTTCTGTGTTTGTACCTTCACGGGGAATATTGAATCAGAACTACAGAATAGCAAGCATTTATATTTCTTTGTGTTTCTCACCTGTGTTTCTTTGCTTTACATAGTCTAATACCATCGATAATAGAGGCATGATTTAGTTCATCGCTCAATATTGCATCTTCAGGTGTTAACAAAGTTTCAAAGAGTCCAGCATTCGCATCGAAGCAAGAAGCATACAGGATAGCATCTTCTCTGCCATGAAATTTAGCAATTTTCTTTTCTAATTCTACATGAATTTCTTGAGTGCCGCATATAAATCTTACGGAACTCAAACCAGCTCCATACTTATCCAGAGCAATCTTTGCTGCTGAAATTACTTCTGTATTATCCTAAATATAAATAATTAATTAATATGATATATAAATTCATTCAACTAAATTTAATGTTTTTATCCAATTTTTGTACTTACAGACAAGCCCAAGTAATTGTTCGCGCAAAAATTAAGAGCTTCTACTCCGTTTGTTAGCACAATTCGTGTGCGCTGTGGCGATGCAATTACTCGTTCGTTTTTCCATGTACCAGCTGCTTTAATCGCTTTTAATTCTGAACTTACGCATTCCACCAAGGAACTCATACTCTTCTGTAGCGCCCATCTCTGCTGCTTAATTTTCAAACCTGTTAAAAAGTTGAGTAATCGAATAAAGTACTTTTCAACAAACGTTCTCGAAGCAGTAACATTTAAAAGTACGGAAAAATACTTTTTGGACAAATGGAATTCATATTCTTGAAGCACTTTGCAGTGTATAGTATACCTCGACGAATACCGAATGATATCTGATTCTATAGAAAGTGGAGAATGATGAACTAGTCAAACCTGTTTAGTAGTATAATGATTTTCAAGGTTGACATGTTCTTGTTTTACTACGAATTATACGCACAACGTTCCAAAAGAAACAAACATTCATATCACGCAATAACTCGTTGAAATATATTTCATAAAATTATAAGACCAAGAATAATTACATCTACCGCAAATATAAATTTAATATTTAAGTAATATTAAACGATACTTTTACCAGAAGTCGGGATACTCAATTTCCATGACATTTATTTTACACTCTTCTTACATTTCCTTCTTGTAATTTTATTTAAATAATTATCAGTAAATATTTATTACGATAACTTAATCGATAGATTATTTTCTAAATTTCCTTACTCCATCTGGTAAATATGTTCATTACAAGCATACATTTTGCAACATCGTAATAGTATTCGACTATTAACTTTTCACGTTTTCTTGGAAATTTGTTTCTTTAAAATTTGTTCCTATTATACAATATTGCTACGTTTATCATCGTCCTATACTATTGATTCGTACGCGATGTAATGTATTATTATTCAAAGCGATATTATTAGGTTGCTCCAAAAATTCTATTCGTTCATAACCATAAAACTGAAATTAAATTTTGTATTTAATTTACTATTTAAGGTGGACAGAACTTATGCAGCAGCCTAACATGTACAATACGAATATTATATATTACGTCATAAACAGAGCAACAATTTTTTCAGCAGATATATCAAATGAATCGATTAGAATGCATCCGAATAAAACTAGCTATTATTCTATACAAGGTTTGGAATCGTTACTTTTATTACTAAATACATCGTTACATTAAAAGTTCTGTATTTATTTGCAATTATGCTTAAATCTGCCAGTCTTGTTTTTTATCATAAATTGCATTCTGAAATCTCACTATTTGGTCTGTCGTAACTTGGTCTTAATTATCACGTAATCTTACAGAATAATGTATCGTAAAGCCACAAACAATAAATTATTTAGATGTAATCCATAGTATAGATTCTTCTGCTGATCGTATCGAATGTTCGTGCTACTATTCGCGCTAATTATTATTGGAAGAAGAAGTAGGACGAAATATAGTAATATAGATATTTACGATTAAAGATTTGGGTAAGACGTAGAATGGTAGTTATTAATTCAGGATTAACATGTAACTCTGTTCGACCTTCAATTTTTACCTACGATGCTTGTTATATATATTAAGACTCGTTAAAAAAAATCTATAGCGAGTTTTTTTTTTTTAACAATGCAATAAAGAAATTTCAACATTCGATAACAATTTCACGATGTTTTATTTTTGACCGAGAAGTGAGTCACTACAGAATACGCGCGCGGGAAATTGTGTATGATTACGTAAAGTATCCCCAAGTATACAATGATGGCAATTGTGAGAAAGAGATCGAATACAGCGGGTTTTACACTGAAACGTAATAAATTACATTATCTACAGGGATCACTGTCGATATTAATACAAAAAATTTCAATATTTACCTGTATACGTTCAGGGTAGCTTTCGTTACATCGTAAAATACGAATTCTGGATCCTGTTTGTCAGGACTATGCAAGGTAACTTTAACATCTCCAAGATACCGAGCCATCGTCTCCTTCAGCGTTCCTATTAACGTGTTATGTTTGTCTGCCAATAAGGGAGCTGCCCTTGGTTGAGACGCTAAGTAACTAAACCATAGAGATAATGATTCTTTCGATACATCCTGCAAAAACATTAAACAATATTAGAATACTAATGATTAATTAACGTATTCCTTTGTATCTTAAAATAAGGAAAACGAGCGTACCAGTGAATCTGTGAAAATTTGACTAGAACTCAAATTATATATATGTCTCGCTAACGCTTCCGCGACTACTTGAGTGTGTTTGTGCAACCTATCTATTTGTTCTGTTTGCATTAAATCTAAGATTGTCGTTCTAATCGGATCTTCGTGGCTCTTTAAAGTAGATAAAGTCGTCGCTGGCAATCTTCGCATGCTGTATCTCTCGTGTTCCCAAGCCAGCGATTTGTCAGCCAGATTTATTTTTTTGTGTACACCTTCGACGGTGGTGCCGTTCAACGAGTCAGATACGGCTTTAAGTTCTTTGTAAAAGAGACCACCCGTAGAATTTTCTTTCGGCGGTTTCGAAACGTGCACGTAAATATTATTGCTGGTAGACACCGTATCGAAGCAAACGACATAAGCTGCATCCTATTAAAACAATGTTATAAATTAAATTATTAAAATTTGGAATGAATCAAATACGAAATTTTTTGAAGTATGTATTACTTGTATTATGGAGCCTTCGAGACCATCTAGCTGATCCTCTAACCACTTTTTACTGCCTTGGTAATTAAGCTTTCCAGCTCCGGTTACTATAAAGACAAGGTTGTATTGTGGCCTTGATCTGCTAGTAGAGTATAACGTAGAGAACAATCGGGCTATTTCTAACAACATAGCCATTCCGGATGCATTACTTTCTGCCCCAAACGACAATTCCTGTTTGATAATAATAGAATATACATTTTTCAGATTTTTAGCAATTATATTTAATACGAAATCTATATTCAAATATCCACTTACGGGTGCAACCCCTGTGCTATCGTAATGGGTTACCAAGGCAATCGTGGGCAGTTTGTCCTCTGCCCTGGTGCCACTTAACTTTCCATGCAAAGTAGCTACTTTAACATCCGTCTTAGCCAATGCCTGTCCAGTGGGTACCACCACTTGGTAACCACTGGCAGATATAGAATTAAAGATTGCCTCTGCAGCAGAACCAGCTTTTTCATCCGTGATAAATCCATTGGCGAGGTCGTCTAAAATAGTCTGAAGATCCGGATGCCACGAAGCGAAATATACCGGTATGGTTGTTTCAGGTCCGAACATCATAGACTCTTCCAGACTCATGATATGCTGTTTCTCCTCCTCCGTCAATTCAGCAATTTTTTCTGGTAGAACTACGATCAAGGCTCCCGCTTTCTGCTTGATGGAGTAGAAAAGAGTCGGCGTAAGATCCAAGGCTTTGGTAATCACGCAGTGTCTAGAAGTGCTCCACCCGGTAAGAGATCTCGCCTCCAAGGAAATAGGGGCACTGCGGCAACCTAAATGAAAAATTCTATCTTATAACTCAAACGTGACGACGTCAATCGTCCTGGTTGAAGGATAGTCGTGTAAATTGCAAGAATTTTGGTACCGTGAGGTTCACCGTGCAAGTCATACTGGTGCATACGATATACAGGGAATTCATGCGATGCCGCGACTGGATTAACCGGAGAAATAATAATGAAGATTGGTAGAATTATTAATAAATAGTACGGTAGATATCCTCGACACAATTCCGCGAAACTGTCGCATTCTTCCAGCCACATTCTTTCAAATTTCAGTCAGACTATACGCTCCGAATTATTTCCATTGACCTATTATACCACGATATACCACGCGACGAACTATGCTCGAGCTCGACTTGTCTTCTACCATAGATTAAGTATACAAAAATAATAGAATAGAGCTTAGATCCAATGAAACACTACGTTGCACATCACTAGAGTACTCTAGAGTATTGTTTCCGAACCTCTAAACCATTTATAGCATGATGGCGTCTTTTACTTACAGTTAAAGCAAAGGAGCCCATGCGCGTGTATAGAGGCGGGTATTTCAAATTGCTTTGAACGACTAAATAAAGTAAATTAGAGAAAGTGCACAGTTCGAAAAATTATAAAACTGTAATAAACAACGAAAATTCTTTGAACTGTGTCTGCACATTCCCTGGTTTACTGAAAAATATAAATATACATATACATTCATATAACAAACTTTTTTTATATTTATTATGTCCTGTGAACTGTGGTAGAGACCAGTAGAGATATTTATTTATATTTACTGGCCAGCAGAACGTACGATTAACTGCATGTACAACTTGTTATCAGATAATACTTATTTGTGTTGTTCGAAAGTATAAATTTGGGGTTATAGCGTACTTAAAACATATTTTTTCCACGTTAGTAATCGGACATAAATATTTCTTATCATGAAATTAATTACGGTCAAACATCGATTCCTATTCAAGTTGATGCAGTTAATAGCACTTTCATAATTTACAAAATGATACCATTTAAACGATTTGTTTATAAGTCAATACAAGGCTATTATGAACGAATGATACAATATCACGAGATAACAACTCTTATTTGTTCATTAAACAGAAAGTGTTCAACAGATATATGGGTCATCTTTAAGTTACTCTTAATCAATATGAAGATATAAAAAACGTAATTAGCGTTTGTTCCTAGTAATTGTTATAGTCTTGTATGCAACGAGTACGATAATATTAACAGCTGTAAAACCAATTAAAATTTATGGAAGCTTGTATGTAACCACATAATCAGTTTACAAATACACTGTACTATGTACTTTATTGAAGATTCAACATCACTGTACCAAAGATTATAATACATATAACATATTTCTATCGTGGAAAATCAGGAATGATATTCGAGCTGATATTCCAACTGTAACAGTCATAATATCATAATTCTAATAGTTTTGTAATTTTATTAGTATCGGATGAAAATGTATGTATTTAGGCTTTCGCAATGCCGACAACGCCGCAGGCGAGGCGGGCACCAGCGTTTCCAGTTGTTTTTGATAACTCGTGTCCACCTTTGCCAAGATCATCAGGGTCGGCATGGACCTGTTATCACAAAGAAAACAACATACATAAAATCAAATTTACAATAAGATTACAGCAATTCAAGTAAACATCATCGTGCAGCTTCTTACCACCAGGGTTCTGCCGATTATATTGTTCGGTCCCTGAAGTTGGATCATTTTGTCTGTTATGTTAACATTTGCCACTCCATCGGCACCTGCCTCAACATTTCCCAAGTCTCCAACGTGACGTACGGCTGCATCTGGTGCACCGTGATCCTTTCCTAGAGGATTGAAGTGTGGGCCAGCACTCGTACAACCTGTTCAATTTATAATAACGATAATAGAGGGAGTAAAAATTGACATCACGATTGGGAGGTCAATAAAATTACGAAACGCTAGAATTTGAGAATTAGAATTCAATTACCTAGGAAACTGAATAATACAAGCGTTACTAAGCTTCTAAATTGTGCATTCTCATCGAATAAAAGTAATTTGAATTTGTTATTATCTGTTGACCTCTAAATTCACCTCCTCCAAGCGTCATCGAAATAGTTGACCAATTCGAAGATTTTTATAATAATTAAGTAACACGTACCGTTAGTGTTATCGCCGAATTCGTGAATGTGGAAACCATGCAATCCTTTTTGCAAGCCAGAAACCTGACCAGTGACCTTCACCGGGCCCGAAGCATCCTATTTAATAGTTCTCGTTATGAAAAATAAATATGGATGCAGATCGTAGCATGAAACGTTCTTGAAGAATCGCTTACCGCTTGTTCAAAGACTAGAGTGCCTTTGGCATCACCCTGAAGAACGCACACGGCTTTGACCATTTTCAGAAGATTCTCGACTGAACGGAACGACAATCGCAATAAGAATGAAGCTCTCCCGCACCGACCACCGACAATTTATAAGGTGCAATTATCGTTTTGCTGAATCACGAGCACGAACACACTGTCGTGTATCGTTTCACAGACTTTCGTGCTGATAAAACGGCGATTCTTAACGTTCACGAAGTGTATAATGGCGTAATTCACGGAGCCCGCGATCAATTGAACATCAATGCACTAAGATCAAGGTCAAGTGCAGAAATCATCAAGAATTTCATGAAAAAAAACATTAAATCATTTGGTTTACGCTTCGTGCTCGAGGTGGCGCGTACCGATTCTTATTTAGTGATTCTCAGGGGATTGCTATTGGATGTATTCAAAAAGCCCATCGCTCACTGAGCTGCTCTGTGAGCGGTACTAGTGGCGCCATCAGTGGAAAAACACTCAAGTTTGTAATAAAAGTAATTCTCAGTGTTGTTATTGGATGGCGCCACTGGTAAATTTTAAACAATAATTGTTTATTTTGTATAAATGCATAATTATTACGATTCTTTGACTTATAATATTAAAATATATTTATTAACATGTCAAATTGATCGTTCCTATGAATACTTGCACAAACTATTTATTATACTAAGCATGCCTAGTATAATAAATACGTTATGTCACAAATATATTATTTATATTTATTTATGTACACATTCCAAGGTGGCTATTTTTAATCCACGATAAATAGTACTCCAATTTTTTGCAGTACAGAAGAAGAATCTTTTTTGTCAGATTTATATTATGCATGTTATACTTTTGCACAAACATTTTCGAGAACTCTTTGGTTCCAGTTTTACTTTTATGCTTGGATATTTCGGTTTTTGCTTCTGTAAATAATCTGTGCAATTCAGAGAGGGCTATAGCGATATAAAAATATTTGTTGTTTTCTTCGGGTCCTTGCATTATCATATCTGCAGCTTCTTTGAAAGCTGATATGGTTAGTTCGTCTTGGGGCAACCAATTGCACTGAAAATGATAATAGTGTTTTTTTTTTAAATCTATACATAAAACAATGTATAAAGTAGAAGTATCAAACTCAATAGTACATACGTTAATAATATTGCAAACAACCGAAGCTACTGCTGATTCAGCATTTTCATATACTTTGTTTTGTTTCATATTATCGGAGAGATCGAGAAAAACGACTGTAGCTTCTATAGGACAGTTTAAATAATCGCCATTGTAGTAATTTGCTATGTACGCGTATGCATAGACCACGTTTATTAGATTAAAATGAACATTCGGAGAGGCTTTCTGTAAAATATAAAGTATTACTTCCCTTGTCTATACTGAATTTATTATATCAAAAGAAATAGATAAATTACTTGTAACTCATTAAATATTGGAACATCTATCAAAGGAGGGACTTGTATTCTTTGTTCGTCATCTTCTTGGTCTATTTCTTGTACCAATTTCTTTTTAATGTGATAAGTCCACCATGGAATCCAATCAGGTAGCAACTTTTCTATTTCACCATTCTTTACTAATGCTTCGAATTCTTGTCTTTCAGCATCGGTTAGAGCAGACCACACTTCGTCTGCATTATTTAAGTTCACATTTCGTAATCGATTTTCTAAGTCTGGCACCTAAAAAATATATTAGTCAAACACCTGAAAAAGAAAACAGTGGAGAAAAACATTATTAAAGATCGATACAAATAACAATTTTTATTTACATCTTCCTCATCATCTGAGTCTAACTGTTCTTCTGGTTCTACTTCCTCCTCATCGCGTATATCATCAGTTTCTAAATCAACGTTTTCCAAAGTTTGCTGGTGTACTCTCTTGAGAATTTCAACCATTTTCTTTCTGTCTTCTGGGTCATTCTCGTAAGATTTTAATTCTTCTTCCACGCATTGCTGATAAAAACTTTCCGAACATTCTAAGTGAACTTCAGACTTGTAACAGTCGATATTACAATATCCTACTCCACATCGTGGACAGACGTATTTTCTAGCACGCGTATTGCATCTAGAATCAAAATTTTCAAAAGTTATTTACCACAATGCAAAATCAAGCATTGTTTACGAACACAAATTTTAAGGTTAGGTCTAACGTTACATACAATTTGCAAAGATTATCCGTATTTGTCGTGCTTGATCCTGGACTGTCCATGTTTTTATTAAATATATTTGAGAAATCTTAATAATCGATACAATTTTTATGTTAGTGTAGGAATTTAATCAATTTTATTCGCGCGAGACCTTTCACGTGTTGCGATAACCTTTTTCTGTTCATACTCTAAGCGACTTCACATATGTAAGTATGCTAATAATTAAAATATTTTTAATGATACATTTAAGAAACAAATATCAGATTTTCAAAGGTCGTGGTTTACATATAAAATTGTTTATTTATATTCCTTTTATAGAGCAAAATAGTAAGAGAGTCTTAACCTAAGTTACTAAAATACGAGACTGTCTCTTCGACTAAAGTACCATTCTTTAGTTTTTTATATTTAAATTCAGGTTCTTCTCGCTTGGACTTCCAAACTTTAGTGTCTGCCTTCGCTAAGATTGCTTCAGGATCTACAGCAACTTCTTTACATTTTGCTAAATTCGTTTCATCTTCTATCATTTGAATTTTCCTCTTTTTTTGAGGTTCTTGAACCTCTTCTTTATCCGTTAGAAAATCCACAGAAGAATTGAGCAGCTTTATACCGCTGCTATTGCTTACAGCTTCCTTGTCATTCGTACAATGACCATTTTTTGTCTTTTTATTCTTTAGTTTAATCGATCTGAGAAAGTTTTATTATTATACACAACAAAAATGAAACCTGGGGAGCAAAATCATTACATTTCTAGTTCATATACTTCTCTATTGCTTCGTCAAGTTTCTTAGCAACATAATTCTGAAACGATGGACTCACTCCAAAGTTTTCGAATTGATCCTTCCGCTCTAAATTTTGTCTTAACGATTTAAGAGTTGTGGAATCTTTGGTATGTACAGAATTATCTAAAATAAAAGAAAATGTAGCAGTTAAAATAAGGAAAAGAATTCGTTTGTTTAAATTGTTTATAATTCAAAGCGAGGAAAGAATATTTCAGCATTATATGTCAGAATACTGAGAAATACAGAATATGCCCACATCATACAGCGTTACACACAGTCTAATACCATCATAAAGCAATATTCAGCGTAATTATCGATATCGATACACAGTATAGTATAGCAAATTATAGTATAATACTGAATATTCCAGCAAAATAGTGCATAATCCTGATAAATACATTCATTCTTGTATTTAAAGTGCGTAACTGATTATACAAAGTTATTGCACCACTGGTTACTTATTGCTAGCTTATTTCCATTCTTCATATCATCGTATAGCTTCGAAGTTATTTCAGGTGCTAATAATTATTGCTCCAACCTGGATTATTTTAACAATATTTTATTTAATCAAATAATTTTAATGAGTGGCGCCATCTACTAGAAACTGTGGAAACTATTTTCACTACAAACTTGGGCGTTTCGCCACCGATGGCGCCACTGGACTAGACGAACGATATTTACTGCTTTATTAAATAACTACTCAAAAACATGATTATTTTGACATATGAAGTAGTATATTGTAGTATTAAAAGGTACCGAATCGTATTAATTATTCAACTATGTTAAATAAAATGTTACTGATTAAAGCCAGCAGTGGCGCCATCTACTAGCAACTGTGGGAACTATTTTCACTACAAACTTGGGCGTTTCGCCACCGATGACGCCACAGGTACTAAAATCCGCTCATTGAGCGGCTTAGTGAGCTATGGCCCTTTTTAATCCTGCCAGTCACTAGCATCTCCTTTAAACTCGTTATAAATGATCTAAATTTGGCACATAAACGTTCGTTTCTCTCAATCTTCCTTTCCATAAAGGAAGTCATACTTTTGAAGTCTCATTAATGTTTGAAACTGAGATTTCCATATCAAATGCATTGCAGGGCCTTAGATCAAACATGGTTCCGAGTCGTATCATTCATTCATGTATTTAAGGTGCGTAACTGATTATACAAAGTTATCGCACTACTGCTTACTTATTACTACCTTATTTCCATTCTTCTTATCATCGTCTTACGTGACTCCTGGATTGTTTTAATACTGTTTGCAGTATCTTTTACTTTTCATTTATTGGGGCCCGCTGGCCCCTCTCTAGCTCGGGTACCACGGAGTTGCTAAGCCTGTACTGTAGCTACAAACACCGCTACAGCCCCTGAGGGCCTGATAACAACAGAAGAGGGAACACGAATGAAAGTGAGGTTATAAAACTTACCGTGTGTATTTGTCTTCTGAGAATTGTTGGATATCGATGTAGACAAAGAAGTATTTTTGTAAAATTGATGATCCGTCGCTTCCTTTAACGCGTTCTTCGATATTTCGTCCTCCGAACTCGTCGAGTCGTCACTGTTATTGTTCACCATGTTTGGTATCTCGAATGGTACGATGAATCGATCATCAGCAATCGATAATCGAATTCAAAATTCAAAAACACGTTTCTATCAAGTTTTTCTTTCGTTAACAATCGCGTTATAATTTCGAGCACAACGGGTATTAAATATATCGAAACATAGAGGCGAGAGTGTAAAAATCAATTTAAATTTAATTAACTCATTGCCGAAATTTGTTTATTAGTTAATAGTTATAAATTTTGTACAGAATGTGAGTATTTGAAATACGTGTAAAGATGTTCGTATATTGTACAATTATTTATTAGCAATAATACCCTTTGATAGTAATTAAAAACAGAAGTCTTGAGTGTTTCATAAAAAATTTACATTAGAGGGGATTGATGTAGAAGTTACCTTCATCGTTTAATCAAAGTATACGCGAGTAAATTAACTAGTAACTATGATTTAATCTAGATACCAAACTAACGAAAATTAATCGATGTTTAGTCGTTCTTTCTTCAAAGTTTAAATGAGAGAACCGATGATACATACCGTTACCGAAAAAGAGATAGCAGGGTAGAAAATAAAATAAGAAGCAGAGAGTAGAAATTATAACAGGTGGATGATAAGAGACTTACTTGGTATAATAATAAAATAAACGGAATATAGATTCATACATACAGACCATCATAAGAGTATTTAGCGATCTAAAATTTTTACTTGTATCCCCCGTACAGTGTTATCAGATTTCATTCATAAGTTCAGTTTGATTGAATGCTATTGCATCGCTAGAAGATGTATTTAATACCACACGTACAAAAACCAGTGACCAAGCAATCGTTTACCGTAAACAAACCGTTGTTCTCGAAGGAAATGAAAAAGATAATGATGAAGATCAGCGTTTTCCAAACTAGAAGGCGCTCGAGGACTATAGAAACTTGTTTAATAAACAACCCCGTTCGAAAACGTTAGGTCAAGAAATGTTACTTGAATTTCTCGTTCGTTATTATATTATTTACAACGCACAGCACGGTGCCTCTGTATAAATTCAATTTAAAATGATTTCTAAGACACGTTAAATATATTCGCCTTCGAAAAGCGTTTGGAAAGTAGCTGGGAGCGAAGATGAAGAAGAACGAAGAAGAAGAAAATGAATATGGAGTACTTGGAAGTGTGTCTTAAACATAACCAATGATATATTTTAAAATATTATAATTATTCTCTGTCCGAGAAGAAAACACTTCGACTAAATTATGTCAACGTGTTAACGATTGATTAACAAGAATTACAGGCGCAAAATTATTTCAATCGTTTCTGACCTATTCGATGCTGGCTCGAAAGGAACAATCGTAGAGACGTGTGGTCTAGAAACTAAATGGACGGGCGAAGTCGAATATTGCCAACGATGTTTATGTACACGATAATGATCGTTCTCTCGTCCCCTAATAAATTCAATCTTAATCTAAATACATTTAATAATATATTCTCACTTTGCATCATCGTCACTTACGTTTCTTTTTTCTTTTTTTTTTTTTTTCAATTTTATTATTTTAGTGCGCTTCTGAGAGGTTTCATGTACACTGTTTTTATTTTCTTCTCTGTTTTAATTAATCGTTATAACCACTTGCTGCTTGCTTTTAAACAATACGTTAAATGTATAAAATATACAAGGATACGATGCCCGCGGGTACATTTTATACAGATAGACGGTATTTAAACATAAGGTATATGTGTATGTATATCTTTCATTTTCCTTTCGCTACTAAATGTATCTTTGATGTGTGCATTGGCTTTTGGCTCGTTTGTCAATCTGTTTTATTTATTCATTTATTTCTTTGCTTGTCTGTTTGTTTCGTATATGACATTGCGTGTACTTATTATACTTATATATTTACCTTCCTCGCCGCGTACCTCAATGTACAGTTAATGTTTTGTTTTTATTCATTTTTTTTTTTTTTTTTTTGCTAAGGCATTTGTAATGGCAAGTATATTTTAAAAGTGCTGATGTCTAAACGCGCGTGAATACTTATTTTTCTTTTTTTCCATTTTTGTACAGTTTATAAAAGTATATTGGCCAGTTATGTAACTTCTAATTAGCCAGCTACGTGTCAAATCACTTAAAAAATGATTCGCTCGTTAGAAAAAGAACTAATCTTCTGCGTTTTTATTTCATTATCATTTTTTTTTCTTCCACGTTTAAATTCAATTGCGCCTTTATAATCCGTGGCCACTAATTGTTTACTCTCTATTATGCATGCAACTTTACTTTTATGCTCGTTACTCGGTTAATTCTGTTATTTTTTTTTCTTTTTTTTCTTTTTTTTTATACCGTTTAATAAAATATATTTAACCGCAGGCTAGAGAACCGGAAACAGGAAGTATACGTATGTGTCTCCAGAAGTATGTATTCCGTCGTTAGATTCTGTCTTTCTTTTATTTCTTTTTTTTTTTAAAATTCTTTTATTCTTTTTTTTTTCTCTTTGTATCGTTTTTCCTTTGTCAAGTGGGACCCAACGTTTGCGTTTAATTGATGATCGTTACGAAAATTTGTCCGCTCCCGTGTCTCGTTCTTTCTTTTGTATAACTCCGACATAACGAATGGAGAACTTTCATTGTGACACAGTTTACACCGAACGATGATAACGTTCAATTTCAATTTTTGCTCGACGGGTCTTTAAGTTTGAACTCGGCACGTAATCGTTCAAGCCGTAATTTTGTCGCAAGTTAATTGCTCGCAGAAATAAATTGCTGTACGTTCCCGTTACATATCCAATCGTTCGAATAAGATATAAACGTGATCTACAGGGTGTCCCAGAATTAGTGTAAGAGCCG